AAACAACTCAGAGTTGATTAAACCAACTCTTTTCAGCTGTTCTGAAACCGAAAACTCCGAGTTTTCCAACTCTGGGTAAGTCAACTCAGAGTTCAGGTTTGAACTCTGAGTTTGTTAAACCGCCTTCTTGAAATAGGCCCCTGGAGGACAGGCTGCCTCTGTGAATGGGAGCTGTAGACAACAAATAAACAGGTGGAACGGGTTTTAAACAGATACCAGTGTTGATTCCCCCTAACAGAAAGGTATGTAACATATTAAGTGATATATCTGAAACAATGAGAGACTACAACTAAGGACAAAGGAATGATAGCTCTGTATATTTAGAATATGATCTTTAAAGAGCCTCTGTGAAAATCCAACAAATACATTTTTACATGAACATTTTGCCAGGTTATTTACACACAGCTACTCAATATGTACATAAGGATTATCATGTGTAAAAAACAAAGAAAATATCTTATTGTCAGACATATAAAAACATCAACATACCTGCAAAATGTACAAGTCAACCTAACCACTATATTTGGTGTAAATTTAGCTCTGTACAAATCCCCAGTGTATTTATTTAGGCAGTTTTCACACTCACCAAGTCCACTTGCCAAATTATGACAGTAGTGTCTTTGGAGCCAGTGGCTAGTTTGGTGCCATCATTTGAGAACTTGCAGAACCACACTTCATTACAGTGCTCTGTCAGAATCTGATGGGTGTAACAGGGGAACTGCTTCCTGTGACCACAGAAAAAGACCAGAGTAAACACTTTGTGTAAGCCTCCAATGGTAGGTCCTCTTATGTTATAGAAATCTCAAAATGTTGAAATCACAGTATATAAACAGGGCAAGGATAAAAGGGAGAAAGTTTAAGGAGTTAAATTAAATTAGGAAATAAGACGAAAAGTGCAGCCAGCCATAAAAAGAGGGTCAGTGAGTCGGAAGCAGAAGACAACACTTGGAAACACAAAGCCAGGCTTACAGTGCAAGTGCCATCATGTTAGTTTTGTAACAACAGGAAGCTGACAGATACATAAATATCAGATGATCCTTTATGCCAGTTTAGTTTGAGCCTGACCGGTCTTGGTCAACATGGTTGCTGTCTAGCACCCACCTGCTACAGACATGATCGATGAGCAGAGAGACTGAGTCCAGGCTACTGTCCAGCTTGGTGTTATGATAGAGGCAGCGGTCTCTCTGTAGCTCCACCGCTTGCCGCAGCAGGGTCTGCAGCCGCCGTGGGGGCAGCATCACAGAGGGCGGCAGGTATGCTACAAGCAGAGGTAAAAGTCAACATATTGACCCCGCATATAGGTTGTGTGTACAGTCAGGCAATATGAGATAACTGTACAGGGTCAGCATGTGAACATGTCTCCTCACTTTGTAATTTGTCCAGCAATCGGCAGCGTGAGGCGGTGCCCTTGCCCTCCCACTCTGCCTTGGCCCTCAAATCCTCAGCATGGCTACACATTAGGTACCTGAAGAGAGACACAAAAACACATCTAAAGCAAAACAACTAATACTGACACAGAGACTGTAACAAACTTAGTAATACTCTGACACTAACAATGAAAGATGCAAAATGAGGTAACTCAGTTCACCGAATGCTGGCATTAAATAAGGAACGAGATGACAAAGATGCAATGACGGAATCAAGGACACAATTAGATACAGCGGACTGATTGTCCTAAGACATTCAACAGATCAATACATTATTGTGCCAAAAGAATGGCTTGCAGAAGGCGTTGAGTGATCTATTCCCAGTACTGGATTAGATCATGTATGACAAGAAACTCTGCTGAGAGCATGGGGACTGCACTGATCAGACCATGGCTTAGAGGATTCTATTGATGCTCTTATACTGTATGCCATTAGAACTTATCGAAAATATAACATGTACGGGAGACACAAAATCATAACAAGTTAAAGACCATAGAAGAACACTGATCCATTACTGACTTTAGCATATTGATTATGGAGTTTAGGACTAAAAACGAAAGTCAGTGGCACTGAAACTAATTTTAAAGGCCCCATGATTTATGTCAATAGTCCAAGACTCGTAGTTCTCTCTGTTCAAGATATACATACAGCTATCAAAAAGAGGCATCCTATCTTAATTGACTGTGTAACATGAGACACCGTGGTTGTGTGACAACATTCACCTTAAAAAATTAATCCAATTTCACAGTGGATTTGATTGGATAATAACTGTCCATCCCAATACCTAACTAGCCACCAGGACAAAGAATGGCAATTTAATGTTGCCTTATTTCTTAGCAAACTATGTAAACAATTTATATATCGTACAAGTGTAAAATCTGACAAAACTGATTCACAAACCAAAACTTAACTTTAGTAAAACTGAAACTACTTTACTTAGCTCACCAGCAGTAGTGGGAGCTGCATCACTGATTAAAGAGCTTTTCAAGAGGTCTATAAATTAGCCATTTCTAGGTGTACAGGGTGAACTGTCTGATGACTGTGAGACAGATGCAATATTAAGATTGTAACAGTACCCGCTGAGTACGTGGATGCGATCTGTGTTGTACTTGAGAGGTGTCAGCTCTCCCCGGAGCACCTGCAGAGCCTCCAGGACTTTGCCATCCTCTAGATACTCTAAGTATTTCTGTTGCAGTAGCAGGAACTTCATACGCTGAGTAGACAAAGAGAGGCATAGGTACAGAGAAGAGATTTTATACAAAAATTACAAAATTAGAGAAGGAAGACAGAAAAGAATGACAAATAAGCATAAAATACTTAAGCTTTCCCTTTAACATTGATGAGAAATGATCAGAAATACTAATCCTACAACAGCTGGGCTGCATGAAGGAGGACAGTTTTACATTTGTAGGGGTACAGCTGTGCATTACAACACAAATCATCATATATAAAAATGATGCAATTAAATTTATACCATCATTTACCACCAAAATTTGAAAAGGCTGCATGATTTTATTATCAGAATGTATTTATAGACGTGCCCAAGACATATCAGTCTTATCTCAGGTATGCAATGGAAGCTGCAGTGCTCAACTGGCACAAGCACAGTTAAACCTATGACACAAATTCAAGAAAACATCCACCCACAAAAATCTATATGTGAGGAGTTTAAAAATGCAGAGCTCTACCTCTCCATCTAGGCCTGTGATGTAAGTAAACTGCCTGCTAGAACTGCTGTGAAAGTCATGTTGACAATAACAACACTGACCTGCTGCAACTCAAGATCTAAAATGGCTCCCCACATTGTAGACACTGCTGAAAACCCACTATAGCCATTGGCTCAATAACCCTACTGGTAATGGCAGCTAACCAGACTTCTGACAGCAGCAGGCACTTGGCTGAGACACAAGAGAGCATTTTTGGAGCTCATCTTATCTGCTAATTAGCATGCTAGTAAGGGCTAATTAGCATTGTCAAACTACTCCATAAATTATGTACTATCATACTGATCTTTACAGTATACCATTTTTACATGCACACTGAAATATCTGACAACACAGTTTCATTACTTTTTCAAGTGCATATACTAAATTTACTTAGAATTAATACATGATATAGAATTGGGATGACTATGGTTACATTCTTGCAGTAACATGAATTAGCAATATTTTAACTGCAGGAAAAACATTATTAAAATACAACCTATAAAACTGAATGCAACTACAATTGCTATAAAAGGTATTCAACCTCCTCTGAGGTTTTCATGATTTAGTCTTACAACACTGAATAAAAAACTACCTCTAATGTCAAAGTGAAAACTGACCTCTGCAAACTTATCTAAATGAACTACAAACTGAAATAAAAAAATACTTGTCTAAATCTTCACCTTGAGTCAGTACTAACAGTATAAACTAGCTATGCAGTTAGTATAATATAGGCACTGTAGTGGTTATTGACACCAGAATACACCAAAAACTGTGGGCCTATTTTTAGTCGATTTGTTTTAATCAATGAAACAACAGGCCTAATCAACATCTGGTGTGGCTGTGGCTGTTCTAGAACCCTGAAATGTACCTCTAACTGTCCGTCTATCATTCAGCCCAGTTCAGGTTTGGGCTCTTACCACAATAGCATTGGGAGAATGCATCAGTGCTCTCAGCTCATTGAGATCATTCTCAGCCTGGACCAAAACAAACACAGGGTGATGGAGGACAGAGACAGAGAGAATTGATTAGCTTTGCAGTTTCCATACATGAACAGGAAAAATAATCAATCATATATACTCACTGGCCACTTTATTAGGTACACCTGTACAATAGATATGCAATTCAGCGCAACAGTTCTGTGTTTATGAAGGTCAAAATGTTTATGTTTTTGTTGAAATTGTCATAAATGTATACTTTCAATTATATATTTATTATTAAAGTCATAGTTAAAAGTGGGGTTGTACTGGACTCCATTTTATTCAGAGGTGTCTCTATATTTTTGTCCTCCCCAGCTACATACATGAGAGGGTCAGAATATTAGAAACACCTAAATATAATGTAGTTCAGCCTAAGGCTCTAAAATATTGGAATGAGAGTTATTCTGCGGTAACTAAGACTGGTGATTTACAAGGCAATTATACAAAAACTCATTGAAATGTGTGCAAATAAACCTAGTATTTTCAATTTCCACATTATGGCCCAGTGGAGCCACTACAACATCTGGTAATAATGCTCTACTAAGCTTTGGGTGTTCCGATCAACATTAATTCTGATCTTTTAACATAATAATAGACACATGATAGAACAATGCCCTATTTTTAATTATGAAAAAATGACAAAAATGGTTTGCTGCACTTTTCAGTAGGCATGATTATAGTTTTACTTTTACCTTCTACTTCCTTACAAATTTAAGACAAGTTGACCAAACACATTAGATGAGTTTGATCTATATGCTCTCCATGTTACAGTAGAATAGCCAACAAATCCCAAGAAAGGCCACTAACTCCCCGTCTATCAAAGTGCTTGCTCTTATGTAACCATAGTAACCCAAGACCAACCTTTTCCCACTCCCCCTCCATGACATGGTTGCGGAACTTGGTAGCTGAGGGGTGTTCCAGTCTGCAGCCTGACTCCTGCATCAGCAGGTCCACTGTCTGACTGCAGAGACACAGAGACAGAGGAAGAGAGGCAGACAAAGTTAGGCATACATGCAGACAGATGGATGAAGAGAAATGAGACAAGGACATAAACAGACAAATGAAACGCAAGAATGAAGCCCAGTGACATTTCAGCTGTCAGATCCTGTATGAGCTCAATCAGCATGATGTAGCACATCAAATGGCATTTATAGTCAGATGCAACTTTTCTTGATGATACCATTTATGACATTTCTAACTGCACTATAATGCCATGTTTTAAGTGAGTGGGAGATCTGCTACAATAATTATAGCACAGGCACAATCTCACTAGCTGACAATGGGACAAAGGTAATTTCATGGCCAATAATATTTCGGGGAATCCAGTCCAGAGCACCACAGCATTATTTGTGGGCAGCAGGAGGTTCACTAACATGAACCAAGCTTCCACTACAGTTGACATCGTCCTCTCATCCAGTCAACCATGAACCATAACCATCTGTCCAAACACAAGCTCTCTGATAAACACAAACTGATGTGCTCAAATGTGTCTGTGAAATAATGAGAGTGGGTTGGGGATGAGGGGGGTGGCTGACACCTCCAACATGATGACATCATCCTCAGGTATCAATAGAGTGGCGCAGCAGCTCTGTATTGAGCCTCTCATCCAGCTGACTGCTACACTGATTTCACTTGCTTTAAACAGCCAATGCCGTGCATCACCCACCTTCTTTGTAAACATAGCTATGTCAGGCAGTCTTTTTTGGCACCCTATAACAGAAACAACATTTTTCCAGCTGGATACCAGAGATCAGCAGAAGTCTAGCTATCCAAGCTACCCCAGCCACTTTGAAGAAGAGGGCTTACACTTACATTTCTTGAAATCCCACCATGCTATAATTAGATTCAAACACAGCGTTTCCATGTAAAACATCTGGTAGAAGGCGCATTCTTCAGCCGCCATAAAACCAACTGATTCAGGACCAACTGTCGCCCACCATATTGACTGCTGCCTTTAAATAAATACATGCCCTAATACACCCCGCCACTGTTTGTGACTGAGTGTTGACACGTTGCTCTGATACATTGAGAGAAAAATGAAGATAAAAGGCCGACAGTTATCTTGTTCATGAGATAGCTGTACACCACGGTCATTAATTTGATGGATACAATGAGTTGTTCGAAATGACAGCTCAAGACATGCAAAGAATACAGTCGGAATACTAAAATAACCGGGACCGTTTACATAACCATGCTCGTTATAACAGTGTGGTCGACCTATTAATGTTACACCCACACACTCTTACAAAAAAACAGGTTATTTTCCCCAGACAGCTAAGATGTAAAACCAAGAAAACCACTGAGCACAGGGGCAAAAAACGGTGACAACCCGCACAATAACATTTCTTCCGCATTTTTTTGCGCAATAGCAATTAAAACGCAAAAACATTCACCGCAAACTAGATAACCCCGCTTGGGCAGCTCAGTAAAAAGCCAAATTAAGTTTCCCCATTTCCGTGACATTGATTTTATGATTTGCAAACCATAACAACCCAAGGAATTGTGCTTTCTAAACGTTAATTACGTTAGATGATGTAATGCCTTTTATTCGGTGTGAAATCTGTAACCTTAATCAGTGCATTATGGCTCCACTGGCATTTAACACATAATTCAGGTCATGATGGACTTGTGAAGCAGCCAAATCGTTCACTGTGTTTTATGTTTGTGTGACGGTTTAATGTCAGGTCACAACACCTAAGCGCAGGCTAGTGCTGTTAGCTATCAAGCTAACTGTTATTGTGCAAGATGGACCCCTTCTCTCTACCAATTGCCGAGCTCACAGGCTAACTACCCCATCCCCCATGTTTGTGTCTGACAAGCGCACTAACAGCGCTTTTAGCAGCTGCTATTTCGCAGTTTCACACGACTACCAGTAATGTAGATTACACTTCAAATGTTCACCGCTAACGTCAGATGCTTTTGTGGGGTTTCCTTCGACTGACACATTGAATAAACTTACTTCAACCCTAGTCCGCGGAGATGTTGCCCTATTAATCGTATGACATCTTCATCCGCCTGCGATAGTCGTTTCTTCTTTTTGAGCGAGCTGGCCTCCGAGCCCGAAGCTGTAGAGGCAGTCAAAGTCCCCGAACTAGGTCCAGTTGAAGACCCGTTACTGGTACCGACATTATTCCCGTTGTCTGTGCTGGAGATAAGCCCATTGGAATGGGTTCCGGTGGCCGTGGATGATTCCCCGTTTTGTGCGCTGTTTATGCAGGAAAGCTCAGAGGATTCTTGTCCTTGTCCTGCCCCGTTTGCCTGCATGCTGCTGCTGAGGTTGTTGACAATACTCCGGTTAAAGTGGATGGCAGAGGTGGCTTGAGAGTGTGGAGAATGTGTACCAAGTCCTAAGACAACTCCAGAGAGGCCTGTAACAACTGCTGAAGCCCCGGGCTCTCCTGCTCCCTCCGCCGCCGAGGCTCGGTGCTTCTTCCGCGGGGGCGGCGACGCTCCGCCGGTGTCCGAGTCGGAGGAGGAGGAAGCGGAGGCCAGAGTTTCCTCACCGAGAGCGGCCGTGGTTAGAAGCCGGCGGAGCTCCGGGTGGGAAATGAAGGTTAAGTTTCCAGATCCGAGGCCTCGTTGTCGGGCTCAGAGAAGTACTGTCACTATAGAGCTCTGTCAGTTAGCTCGTTTTTGTTGTTGTTACTCTCAAAACAGCTGCAGCTCTAATGGAGTCCTGACGCCCTGACGTAACCGGAAATTCCTACACTACCAGGCTTCCGGGTAGAATTATAATCCATGGGTGGCGCATAAGCACATATTTAGCATAATAATTGGCTGACAACAATAACATATCACATTAAAATTCATATGAATGGCCCCAGGGACTCTCATTTATTATATCCAAATTTTTTAATTAGCATAATGTGAGAATCTCCCATAGACTTTCAGCGGGAGTCCAGCTTTTACATTTTTAACTAAAGCAAGCAGTGACATATCAATAAAATATGTATGCACAAAATTAATCTTCAATACTAGTCCTATAATAAATAATGTTAGTACTGACATCTTATTCATTCAGGTTCAAGCAAAGTTTAGTGCAAGTGTGTTTTATTAACACATTATATAGTGTGATCAACCTACATTATTTGACAAAAACTGAGCTCAAGCTAAAACAGCAAAGGAAAGTAACTTATATAACGTTTCCAAGCTTGTAATTCTCATAGCACTCCATAAATCAAGTGCACAGTGATACAATCTTTAATGCAGGATCTCTGTGAGATGTTCAACTCTATTTCTGAATTATGTACAATTATACAGACTCACTTTCTCTTTAGTTTATTTTTTGGGTGGGATGGTATTTCACAGTTATAATGCTGATAATAATATTATTTAGTTGTGTTCATCTAGTTCCAAATTCTTTGCATTGCTACAGAGTGTATGGAAAAAGATATAGGTAAATTAACTGTGTATATGAGAGTAATGGAGTAAAGAGGACAGTCTGCCCAGGCTTATCCTTGTGTTAATGACACTTGTTTAGGTGAAATTAGTTAAGAATGGTCCGCAACTTGGTTCGGCAGGGCAGTGAGCACTGGGCCGCCATTGCTGCTAGGTTTGTCTTTGCCTTTCATGAAAAAGGTTAACAGCTCCCCTTTTCCTTTGACATATATGAGCCCTCTTCGGATGAAGCGGAAGCCATACTCCTTCAGTATGTTATGACAATCCTCCACCACCTAATGACACAAGTAGAAATTAAAACTTTGAACTGGGTATGGAATAGCACAAGGCAGAGTAAAATCACAAGCTGTTGCAATGTGTTGCATGTGTGGTTTCACATGTGTATGTTACCTGGATGTTTCCCATCACTCCAGTGGATTCCATTCTACTGGCCACATTGACTGTGTTGCCCCAGATGTCGTAGTGAGGTTTACGAGCTCCAATCACTCCAGCAAGAACTCCACCCTTATTCAGACCTGGAGGGATCAGCATGAAAACATGAAAATAGACACTTGCAATTGCATGTGCATGTATGCACACAAACATGTGTATTTCTATCATTGTGAGGACATTCACTGAAATAATGTATTTCATAGCCCTTACCCTAACACTTAACCATCAGAGCTAAATGTCTAACCTCATCCCTTACCCTAACCTAAACCCAATTCTAACTTGAACCCTAAAACCAATTTTTAACCTTCAAAAAAGTGTTAAACCATTTGAGAACCAGCCAAAATGTCCTCACTTTCCAAAAATGTCCTCACTCTGTAGCAAAAAAACAAAACCCTTTTTTGCTCCTCACTATGCAGCAAGTACAAGAACACACACACACACACACACAGGCTCACAAATACACACACACTGACCAATTCGGAGCATGAAGTTGTTGAAGGACTGTTTGTTGAGGTTGTTGAGAGTGACTTTCATAGCCAAGGCAAAGTCTGCCAGGTCAGCGAGGTGCTGCCAGTGCTCAATCAGTGACCTGTCCTCTGGCTGTAGAACAGCATTTTACAATTATAATTATCTATGCCACTTAAGATAATAATAATAATAATAATACATTTTGTAAAAGTGTCACCTTATGGCTGTTGTATGCATTAGTGTTGCTTTCTGGAGTGAGCCCTGATGCAGCCATGTAGGTGCTTCCTATTGTCTTGATCTTAGTGATACAGCGGAACTCATCTCTGTCGAGCAACTAGAGGAGAAAATGGACATCGGTGTGTCTGAGGGGAGTCATATGCATTTAAAAGCTCTGCAGGTTGTTCACACCATGATGACACATGAGAGTTGTATCATTACTTCTCAAAATATACGATCAGCTGATTGAACTCACACTGTCAAAGTCTGAGATGATCTCATTGAGGATCCTGAGACACTCAAGGCCTCCATTGTTGATGCTCTCTTCAGTGTAGAAATCAGAAAAGTTGGGAATAGAAGCAAACATCACACCTATTTCATCATATGACTGGCTGTACAGCTCCTACAATGACAAATGGCTCAGTGTTAGTGTGTCTTGTTTTCATATTTCAGTTTTCATTTTACAAAAGCCTCATCATAACTTCTTATTAGAACAAAATCGACAAGAACTAATATGTAATTAGGAAATAGACCACAAGATGGCACTGATATGCAATGAACTGGTGCCCTCCTGACTATCCTGTCATTTTCTTTTTCTGTACTCACAGTCCTCCAGACACCCACACATCTATTTCTATAACTTAGCACACACTTATATATACCTCATCTCTCTTCTTAGAGCCCAGGAAGTGTTTGGCGACATGTTCAGGCAGCATGTTGGTGACCAGAGCTTCATTCCAGCGTCGCATCTCAAACACCCGTTCCTTCTGATCATGCACGCCAATCTTCCACAGGAACAGTTTCCTAGACTGACGTTCTAACTATACACATCATGGTAAGAATGAAAGTTTATCTGTAAGATATTTTGGGTGAAACCTTTTAGGAAAAACATGAGAATTGCCATGTTGACTGTTGCACAGACAGGCTGCTATGGCTCAGCAAAGTTTGCTGTACAGAAAAAGTGACTCACATGGCGGGCAAAGAAGTAGAAGCCAATCATCATGACAATAATCATCATGGTCATGAGGTACTTTGATGGAACCATAGAGGCTCTGGAAACACAGAGAGAGAGAGAGAGAGATAGGATTAGAGAAAGGCATAAAACCTAGTAGAATCATTCTCTATTGGCAGATCACATTTTATTTTGGTGTTTTTAATAAATTGACATAAAAATACACTGTTCATTGATTGATCCACTTTTTACCTGGTATACCGTATAAAGTCATACAGGTCGTAGATGTCTCGCCAGCTGTAAATATTAACAGCTCCAGCTGCTGTCACAACCAGTGCCATAAGACCTAGCTTAATCAGGTGGCTGACCTGTACCAACATGGCAGTTGCGATTAGTGACATCACAGTCATGTAGCTGTAATGCTTTGGATTATCTGCACAGCCTCGGTCACTGAGTGACTTCAGGACAGGGCCAGAGGTGCTGTTGGACACCCAAACAGACGGTGGAACGCAGCTCAGCTGCAACATCAGAAATAAAGTGAGTGAATAATTTTCAGTAAACACCTTTACTGTATATAGCTCAAAGTCAGTGTGGTGGCTGGGGGTAAAACAGATTAATTTGCTGACATATACAGAGTCACAAGGATGATATTGTGCCTTGAAAATTCATTTTTACTGTATATTCATTTATTCACAAAATTAATATTTAAATTCAGTGTCTTGACATGAATCTAGCATAAAAATATATGTAAGCTCTGTTGGCACTGATAACTATAAAGTTGTGTCATGTTGGTTCTTATTTAGCTACTTTAAATAAATAAATAACCCCTCAGTTGACATCAACCCCTGTTACAACAGCAGCAACAGAAACTGCAGGAATATTTAAACATGTTCACTTCTTTTTTTTTTCAGTGTGGCTGCCACGTCTACATGACAGCTAAGACAAAGAAATGAATGCTCACTTTGGCATCCTCTATTCCTGTTAGACCTTGAAAGCAGCAGTGTGTGTAACAAGCTGGCCCTTTGGGGCCATGACAAATGAGCCAGCAAGCAATGAGACAGACAACTAATGGACTCCACTGGGAACATGCAGTCAGACACATAAAAGGCAGCAATAGCTTGATGAGGACAAACTGGAATCACACAAATGGAAAGTAGTATACACTCTAGGGTTAGGTGATATGACGATATATAGTGTACCATGATGGCAACATTTGATTCACATGATTTTTCAGGTATTTAATTCACTGTATTTCCATCTAGATATTTTATGACCAAATATGGTTTCAACTGAATTTCTACAACAGCTATTATGTCATAATATATTTAGCTTTTGTCTCAAAAAAATTACATATACAACACAAACAGTGCACCAGAATTTGGTAATAGAGTCATACCATGTCAGCGATCACAGCCATGGTAAGAACAAATATGGCTGCCATAGCCCACGTATTTCTTGCCCAACGGGTGCGATCAATCCACAGTGAGAAAGACACCAACCTCTTGGAGAACATCTGTGATAAACAAAAATCATTGCCATCATCATCATCAACACCAAGAGTTCCTGATGCACTCAGCAGATTACAAATGCCCATGTAATAAATAATGCCTGTGTATTCTCACACATGCATGTAACTACAAGTTAATGTAATTTAATTTCAAATCAATACTGAGAACATAACTAATTGAAATGAAAAATAATTATGTCAGTGTCAGAGCTCCTTGTTTCAGTGTTTTTCCTGAAACAAAATGGGTTGTACAATTAAATAAATTGAGACATTATAAAATAAAATTTGTTCCCTATCACCAAAGCAACGGATAGTTTTCTGCTTTCTCACCCTGGGGTAGATGGCAGCTAGGGAGCACAGCATGAGGATTAGTAGCAATAACTCTCCCACTGCAAAAGTCACATAATTCACAACCAACCTGGAACAAAAACACACATTTTAAAGTCATTTCTAACAAATAAACTACTCCCAGAAAAACATGCATTGCATAAATTCTTTAAACTGATTTTAAACATGGCTCAACTTTATCATTTTTGAGGCTACAATTCTTGGTTAAGGGGCATATCAAAGTCTGCATACAATTAGCTTTCATATTAGATTTGTATTGATAGTGGTTATATTGGTAGAAGGATGTTGGAGATGGAGCTGTCAGGCAAGAGGTCAAGAGGAAGGCCAAAGAGGAGATATATGGATGTGCTAAAAGAGGACATGAAGTTAATTGGGGCGAGAGTAGAGGATGCCGAGGATAGAGTTAGGTGGAAACAGATGATTCGCTGTGGCGACCCCTAACGGGAACAGCCGAAAGAAGAAGAAGATTCACTGTATTTTATAAGATGTAGCAAAACAAAGTAATATACAGTAACTCACAGTGGGTCTATGAACACCTGCATTGCTGTGATGAAAAAGAGCACTATCATGCAGCAGCAAAAGGCTGCTCCACTCCGCTTCTCCTTCTCAGAGGAGTAATGATCCTCCAACTTTCTGTCCACAAAACGCAATGAGATGGAGTTGATCTGATCCTTCATTCTGTGAGCACAGAGAGATATGGCAACAGGGAAAAAGTGTGAATTAGGGCTTGAGAGGACAGGGAATGCATATATATTATTTCGTGGTTGAGTATCCTTTAACACTGCAGTCATCTCCCTCTACTCTTCTTATCTTTTCTTACATTTGTTGAGCTTCTCTCTCCAGCAGCTCCTGCTGCAGTCGCTTGTTGATCACTTGGTCCTCAACCATATTGTGCTTCTAGGATCATTAGTGAGAAAAATAGACCAGATAGGTTGCAATGAATTGAATGAATGAGTTAAAAGATATATATTTATCTATTTAATGGTACTGACGATGTGTGTTTTTATGCATTGGTACCAATTCACTCTGTGTACTGTGTACTGCTGTGTACTGAAGTTTTGTGCTTGTGTAGTAGGCACAAAATATGGACTTGGGCTTAAGAATGACAATGAATAAAGACAGTTATCATGATTAACCTCTTGTTCAGACTCAGTGGGCCTGGGCTGGAGTGAAGCTGTGTCTCCATTGGTTTCTGTAGTGTTGATCAACTGGTTTGAATTTCTTTTGGCCATTGCATCAGGTGCCTGAGGGAGGAGAAGCACAAAAAGCATTTATTAACACCACATAAATTAAACTATAATTTAAAAATGTGTACTACTCTTTACAATACTTTTCATTTAATGTAGTTTCTTAATTTAATGCACTTTTAAATGTAATAATTTAGCTATTGTGGTTTTGATTCAAGCAGCCCTTAGATCTGTGAGTTAACCTCATGGACTGAAAGAAACTAGGGGATGTTTTTGAAAATGAAAATGACTACAGCAGTGTATTCACTCACATTTCCATTGAGTCCATTTGCCTCCTGTTTAGGCACTAGAACCAAATATGTGTCGATGCCTTTCTCCAGCAGGTACTCGCACCTCTCTCCACCATTCCCTGGTTCCAGTTCAAATTCTCCGTGTAGACAGTCCTTAGTATTCTGGGAAATATGCACTCTCCTGTGTAGCACGGAAACCAGTTAAAATAATATACATAAAAGAATGTGATTGCTTGCTATGACAGTAAGAAAAGTATTTTTTCATACCCAGGAATTCCTCCCGACTCCATTTTGTTGGCTACAGTGACATCTGTGGACCAAACATCAAACTGCCATCTTTTCTGCCCGAGTACTCCGCCCAGTACAGTACCTGTGTGGACGCCCACACGCATGTCCACTCCAGTTTTTGTCTTGTCTCGCACATACCTGAAACAACAGGGACAATGTAAAATGTATTTTTATTTATTTTTTGTTTCTAGATTGTGAAAGTAAGGCCATTACTTACGAGATGGCTTCTACCATCGCTAGACCCATGTTTATGGAGCAGGCTGCATGGTCCTCTCTGAAGTCAGGTAGACCACATATACAATAGTAACAGTCTCCAAGGATCTTAATCCTCAGTTGGTGGTATTGCTGTAAAATAAAGTCAGATGTGCAGGTGATTTAAATGAAGTGTAGCAAGTTAAGGAAGATATTGTCTGAATGTACTATGAAGAATGTTGAGAAAGTGATATCTCAGTCACATAAAATATGAACATTAATCCTTATAATCATTGTTTTGATCAAACGTGACTCACAATCTAAGATATATGATGAGAAGCACAGCAGAACATACACTAAAACACAACAGAGTCGAAGGAAAACAGACACTCACGGCTGCCAGTTTGTCAAAGCGGGCAAACAGTTCATTAAGCAGCTTTACGAGCTCATGGGCACTACAGGTTGAAGACAGCTGGGTGAAGCCCACAATGTCAGCAAACAGGATACTGCAATGAAAGTGCAGATGTTACAAATGCCTCCCAAAATATTCTGACTTTAACACCTCCAAAAAAGCTGATTTTGTGAACCTGACCTGACGTTTTCATGGCGGTACATGTACATAGTGTTGAACTGCTGCTGCCGCTGCACTTCTTTCTGATTGGCCTGGTTCTTCATGCCCTGCAGCATCTCATCAGCTATGTGCTTGGGCAAGATAGACAGTAATAGTTCCTCCTACATAGACACACATGTAAGAAAAGTGAGTTTTGCCTTGTTCAGTAATGATAGATTGCATAAAGGGTCCCATGGGTGTACATACTGTAGCATGACTCAGGCAGTACAGGGATCTTCAGGAGATCCTGTCGACTGGTCTGATGTATTCTGGCTGACTGCTTCTATCTGTTGTCTACCAAAATCCCCACAGAAACATCAATTTGGGATTCTACCTCCACCTTCTCTCTCTGTTTCCTTCTGTGTCTCCATCGTCATTTATATATCCCCACTCCAACAACTTTTCCACCCCTGCTGAAGCAACTCTCCCAGGTCTTTGTTCCATAATTGTCACAGATGGGATAATGGAGGGGATGAAGCAAGAATGGGCCAAATAGAAGAATGAAATGAATACAATCAAGGTTAGAAACAGTGTAGGTTACATTATTAAGTTACACCGTTGTGGCATGAGGAGCTATAAAGGGAATGGCTAGTAAGGGAATGCATTAACATTGCCATTTGATTCACAATTTGACTGCACAAAAAAAAAATCTATTGCATTTTTACCATTAGTGCCCAAACTGTGTCTTCATTTTTTATTCATTTGTTGCTTCCTCAACCCCCAGCCACATATTTAAGAAACACAAATGACAGCCCAGATACTAATCAGTTAGGATAATTAGCTTATAAACAGACTATAAAAGATGTATAGAAAAAGAGCAGGGAAGCTGCAAAAGGAATAGTACTACTAAAACCGCAATACAAAAGGAGATAAAATGGTGCCCCATGAGCAAAACGATGATCAGCTAACACGAAATAAAGTTAGGAGCATTAAGGGAGGATTAAAAATATAAAAATATTTCTTTTGTAAAGGATGTGTTGGTTGTCACAGAGCTTAAGATGACCATATGGTGTCAAGTCCCCGACAGTGAAAACAGCCTTCTCTCAACCTAATGTATTATCCGAGCAAAACACAGCATAATTTGGCAGCGCAGAGTGGGCTAGCTCCCAGGTGTAGTGTGCTGTTGTGCATATGTGTATGTGTATGTTTGCCCTGACTCCCACTCCCCCAAAAATGTATTATTTCATTAAGCAAATATCTGCTGTATGTCCACTAACCTGCTGGGTGCTCTGCTCCTCCAGGGTGAGTTTGACCTCGAGTGACTGACGAGCTTCTGAAAAGGCTGTCCTGTACTTCCTGTCTGACATGTAGTATGACATGACACCCACTATGGCTGCACCCAGGTACAGCATGATGTTGGCTAGGAGCTGGAGAGAGGAAGAGAGTATGTGTGCTTGTGTGTGTATGGGGTCACCTGACCTTTGCTGTTACTTTATAACCACTGTGTATTATGCATTAGGTCAGGCAGCCCCCTGCCCCCAAAACCTTTAACTTGCAGGTGATTTGTCATTTGTCACTTTACCATCACTTGCTATAGTTACCTGTCTCGCCAGCATGGGCCCCTGCAGGCTGGTATCAGCCCTTTGAGCAACAGTCACCCCCAAAACCAAGGTGTGTATCCCACAGGACAGCGTTGTGAGCAGCAGCAGGGGCACCAGGTCCAGTGGCAGTGTCAGAAAACTGGTGAAACTGAAAAAGACCTGCCAGCCCACAGAGTCACTGGCATGGGGGAAACGCTCAAAGTTCAGTCCCATGTAACATAAAACATGGACAGTTGTCATCACCCACAGTATGTATGGTAACGCTCTGTTTAAAACGAGCGATGCCGGAAGCTTCTGTAACCAACACAGCAGATAGAAAACAATGTCTGCTGCCAGCCCCACAGCTGCAACCACCACCATTGCCAGTTTGTCCTCGGTGTACACCACTGCACTCATGATGATGATGAAGCCGTTGAAAAAAGCAGCACACATCATCAACACCAGCAGGTTCTCTTTCCTCTGCTGACGGAAGTAACTCTGATAAAGCCTCTCCAGTGACTCTGGCATAAAGGTGAGGCGCACTGAAAGCGGAACACAGCGACAGCATCTTGACTGGAGCACGGTCATCTGACGTGTCCGACCCGCTCCATGACCCAGATCACCAGGAACCTGCCCAGAGAATTCCACAGAGTACTCTGCAGACTGCTCCGTGTCTGTTGTGTGGAGCCGGTTCAGAGACATAATGTTTTTTTTAATGGTATTCCTCTTTGTTCTTATAATACTGTGTTAGTATTCTGGAAGCACACAGAAGATGAAAATCCGTGGAAAAGTTATATCCCATGTTTGTGTTAGATATTTACATTATCAAGCTTTGAATAGTGCAAAAATCATCCATGAGTCAAAAAACTTTCAGTGCATGAGATAATTCCATTCCAAGGTGTCAATAAGATGTAAACACAGCTCCAACAGCTACTTTTACCACATATCCACCTTGAAAAGTCTCTTACCTGTCGAATTTGTTACCATGTTTCTTGATGTACAGTAATTATAGTGTTGTTAGCTCCATAAACAATTGAAAAATTTCCTAGAATTTCTTGTTCTTAAGCTACTTCAGTGGAAAAAAAAATCTTGAAACCAGCTGAAAATCTCATAGCAGAAGCACAAATCCTTGAGCCTCAGGTGGGTATCCATTTCAAAAAAACATATCTCTTCAGAAAAGGTTATACGAGTGTCTATAGGCAGAATGACGCTATATTTTGATGTATGAATCTAAATTTTTCCATAACATAATCTGCTCCGAGATGCTCTTCTATCTGCTGATATTATTCTTCCCTTCTTTCTCCTCCCACTCTCCCCTCCTTTTTCTTTAACAGCTTGTCCTCTGTTACTGTTGTTAAGATGAAACCAAAGTAACAACCAGCTTGTAATCATGTCTGGGGAGATGTGACAGTGACAGTGTGAAAAGGTGAGGAAAAGGAATTATTAAAGCTACAGTGCAAAATGTCAACTAATTGATAATTTATTTTATAATTATTTAGTGTTTATTGGAATTAGCCCTAGATTTTCTTAGAGAATAACAATGGATCACTCATTTCTTATCGCTTTTACTCAGCTGGTAGGCGGAATAATACATGTTTATGACACAACTGATAGCTTTGATGAATGGCCAGATTTATTTTTTTGTGTTTAAAATGAGTTACATGCAACTTACAGTGGCTAAACATACAATATCTACACACACACACACTTCTCTTTGTCAGCCCACAGAGTGTTTGTGTTCTGACTGATTAGTGACCAGTAGAAGAGAAATGTTTAAACTCAGGCATTAGTCAATCTCTGTGTGCGTTTGCTGCTGGTGGTGATTTTCCTATCATACCACCTAGAGCACTTCCCAAAGCCAACAAAATAGCCACCAGAACTCCCACAGTCCCCAGTCTCCCCAGAGCTGCGGTGCCTAACGCTGCAGCCCCAAGTGCCCCAGCTCCAATCGATGCTGCTGCTGCGGTTACCGTCTCCATGCCAATTCCTTTAATTAGCTCTGGCCCTGTGAGAAGGCCCCTTTGTAGATTCACCTGAGTGTGGAAAGGGCTCTTTGGTGCACCCAGAATAAGTGCCCCCACTGCAACAAGTGTTACGGTTATAAGCCCTGATACTGTCAGTAGAGTTGCTTTCAGTGCTACACCTTCTGTGGCCAGCAATACACCAGCAACAACTGAACCTATCACAATTAAAGTTGAATTTCTAGACTTGAATGCTTGTTTTGCTGCAACACTTGCAGCTCCAAGTGATACTCCTGCAGCTGTAGTTGCTCCTAATGTTCCCCCTATGCTGCTTCGAGGCCCCAGAGAAGAGCTTGATTGCAGAATAACTCTCAGAGCCACTGATGACATTATAGCAGCCCCCAGAGCGACCTTTCCAGCCACCTCTGGCCCCAACCCAACCATGGCCACCGTTCCCAGGCCAGCTCCTAGCAGCACAGCAGACAGAAACACCACCCAGATGACCGACTGCAGCATCAAAACCACTTCTGCTTCCAACCCTTCCCCTGCTTCACCTGCTACTAACCCTACAGAAAATCCCATTATCCCCACAAAAACAGAGTAGAAGAATATCCTTTCCAGCATTTTGCACCCAGTTTTAGATTTTGGCCTCTGGGACACCCTCCCTGTCAGAGCTTTTCGTAGGGCATAAAGGACACAGATGGTAAATCCCATGATGAAGAGGCCAGTTATGATACCCATCCTTCCATATACAACACTGAGATAGAGAGTGGTGAAGATGATTAGCAGAGCTGTGGTCATGTCATTTATGTTACTTTGTGAGTATACTACAAGGACCAGAATGCCTTGGGCTGTGATGTAGATCCATGGTGGAAGGATGCCCACTAACATTCCAGTAGTCACAGAGCCCACCACAACAGAGGCTCCTGTCGTGGCCTCCACTAACCATGGCAACTGCACTCCAACTTTTGTCAGCAGCTTCATCACCATGGCAGCAAGAAGGAAACCACTTCCCAGAGAAACGAGCACTGAGGTGAACACGAGGCATGCCGCCACTACCCCGACACCCGTGGAACCAGCTCGACCAGCAGCCAGGGCCGCAGCAGCCAGCAGGACGTGATCATCAGTCAGTCTGGGCTCAACTGCAAATAGCGCAGCTTCTCCAAATGCAAAACCTGCTGCTGCACTTTTTAGGATTGTCGTCAGCACACCAAAAACACCTGGAAGGGGTAAAGACACAGGGTTTCAGAAAGGAATATTAAACTATCACCACTGGGTGAAATGAACAAAGTACATTTACATAAATACTGCACTTTAGGGGTACCTCACCAATTTTACACGTGAACTTTAGTTTACTCTTAATGAGGAGTACTACTCTACTCAATACAGCTGTGGACCTTCCCCAGCCAGGGGAGGACTATGCATTATATTATTGTCAGAACAAAAAGGATATTTCCAGTTTGTGCTTTTTTATATTTCTACTTATAATTTCAGAATGAAATATTTTATTTTTTAACAGCTGCGGTTAATTTGTACATTTTCAAACAAAAGGGATGATTCCTATGAAATAAGGTGCCTCACTATACTGTAGATCAAAATACCCAACACTTAAAATGAACTGCATCTTCAGGTGCTACATTAAACTGCTCCTTATATGTTAAGGCATAAAAATAATCCAATAATATGTATTATCTTGATTACATTTTAAATGTAGGACTTTTATTTGTATTGGAGCACTTGTATACTTCTGCCACTGCTTGTGCGTAGACTTTTACGCGTGCCATGACCTGCCCCTGTCACTTTAAGATGAAAGGGAAACCACTTCCATGGCTCCATGTTGAAACGTAAAACCAGGAAATCTCCCTGAACTACAAAAGAACAACAAACACTTCGACAGACCATGTCGTTACCTATGTATCTGTGTCACTGCTTTAGTGATGCTTTGTTTTTGCACTCTAGTTCATTCAGATCATACAGCTTTCACATTAACGGTTCAAACAACTCGGACTTCTCTGTCCATCACATGAAAACAGCTGCATAAAAATCAGACATATGTGTTAAAAGTATATATAAACGTATGTTAAAAGCTCTTCCTGTGGCCACTTGCTGTAGTATGTTTCTGAAGCAATCTTACTAAGGCTTGTATCTGCCATGACTCCTTATGCACCGAGCTTGTCACCGCCACTTGCTCTTCTTCTTCTTCTTCTTCTAATAGATTTCCGACAGGATGTACACCATGAGGAGTAATGCCGCCCTCCACAGGGGGACAAAATACTTGAAAGAACTGAAATAAAAAGGGGAGTCCCAAATCAAGTCTGTTAGTTCCTTGAATAACTGCTGTCTTACTCTTCTAAAAATATTACATAAATAAATAACATGCCAAACCATCTCCATATTACCTATATTACCACAGTGACATAGACCATCTGGATTTTCAAACAGCTGGCTAAACCACAATGTCCAAGTCTCAGCCTGTCAGACTTTATTTATATGATTTTTGTTTAAGAGATGTTTGAATAAAGAAATAGTGCCGACCTCTTTGCCCATTTTTGTAGTTTTTCTGCCAGAGAGCATCTAATTTGTCTTTACAAATGGCAAAGCACTCAGGACTCAGGTTTTCTTGGCAAAATCTTCAGTTCAATAGTTTGATTTGAAAGACATTGTTTTGCAAGTCTGTTAGCAGTTTCACTGCCCTGGCACCTATAAACACATGGCAACTCATGTTGCCAACTGTGTACAAGCAGCACAGAATCTCCCACAGCAGGTCGGGGTGGACCCCTGATGTCCCATCTCAGAACCAACTAGGCAGCAGCAGTATTGGAGCTGATAACACAACAAGTTCACTCGACCACAAAGCCCACAAAACTGCCACAAGTTCACAGGAGAAAACAGACAACTCCAGGACCATGGTTTCAGTTTGTCATCATGGGTAATTAAGTGTATAGCAATGGGTAGAAATGACAATTGCATCCATTCTGAATCGAATCCACAACACATAAAAATGTCAAATTCAGTCAAATTCCTTCCAAAGTCTGAGAGAGAGGACCAAACAATGTCAAACATTTATCATCTTTGCAGGCTCTGTGGAGGCTTACTGAGTTAACAGCTCACATATTTCATATTCACAAGCACAACAAAAGTAGTCTATCTGCTGTAAAGCATGATTAGAGGTTTTCTACATTCATGAGCTCAAAACTGAATGCATCCTATAATGTGAATAGGATTATTGTCAACATTTGAAAGGGCTTTTCTGGTCTTAGTGCGCCTCCTGCTGGATGTGTTTATTTTGGCTGTAATTTGATATTTGCTAGAGAAGTGCCATGGGCCACTCCACACATAAGGTACTGATTACATGTTAGCCTCCTGCCAGAGACAAATACATACTTTACTGAAACAGCTTCACTGTCAGTAAGGCCAGAAACAATTGAAGAGTGCTGAGTTTTTGCATTATACATCAGTTCATGATTTCCAGGTTCATGATTTCCTAAAATTGTAATAGGGCATTAATAACCTCCAGCTTCTAGTTCCCAATTACTTGTAAATCTCTGAACTTGTGGTTTTAAGTTTTATGATGTAAGCTACCAGACATTTCTTAGTTTGTAACGTGTTTTTATCATGACTCCAACTCTGTCACATAGGCTACTGCTTTTATGTAAACTCATGTGTACTGAGCATTTATCTACATAAACAGGCCTTTTGTTATCAGCTAGATGCAGATGAAAGCAAAAACATGGTACTGCTTTCTAGAAGAGGATTCTTCACAACCTGGCAACCTATAAGTATTTAATTAATGACCTTTAACTGATTTATAGAGCATTAGAAAATGACTGCTCAACTGTTAAGTCTTACAGCCGTCGCTACCTTATCACTAACATTTATTTTTAAAGACAATGACAAATGTAAATGCTGTACTGGAAAATGTGAGGGAAGGAAGGGACTGAGGGGGAGTAAAAACCACAGACGTATTGGGACGCGGCCCGGATCTTTCCACTCAGTTTCCTGTTCTGTAGTCAGCTGACAGAATCGCAATGTCACGTGGCTGATGTTTCCTTTCCTAGGAACAGCGCAGTTTATTCATTTACAGTCGGTCCGAGAGCAATTTCTATGAAGGACAGAGCGGAGGGAAGACAAGAGCAGAGATTCGGAGTTGAGGAGGCTTGAACGCATGAATTTAGTAAGTTTATCTTTTCACAGAATCATTTGAATGAATATATGTCAGAAAACATCGCAGTCAAATAATGTTTAAAATGTATTAATGCATGTGATAAGTCTTTATTTGTAAAGGATACATTAGTCAGTTATCCATCCATCCATTTTCCTCCGCTTATCCGGGACCGGGTCGTGTTTATAATAGAACCGCTAGAGTTTAGTGCCAGGTAAACATATGCAAAGCTACAGTTGAAGGAGATCATATATAATTTTTATTTATTTTTCTTTGGCAAAGCATTATTTTTTCCTACATATACTGTATCTGCCATATTGTAATAACTTTATATTCTAGCATTAAGTACAGGCCTTTGGTTTAGTCAGCTGATATTTTATGACTATATGACTGTTAAGTCACTTGGCAGGTTGGTCCTTTCAGCCTCAGTCACACCCAGTCATGTGAGACACAGGAGGTCTATGTGGGTGCCACCTGTCACTCACAATAGATCAGTAACCACAAGATGAATTTAGTGAAAAGCAGCTTTAATGAAAATACAGTAATAAATGAAGTGGCTCGTGCAGGACATAGACTGTAACAATCATACATCTTTCATACGGTCTTTCTCTCTGTGACCATGGTGTCATCTGGGATTACCATTGAATTCATTTGAACGCTTGTTCTGTTCTGCAGGCGGTGCTTGTGTTGGCCTCTGCGCTCTCTGTGACCACCTTGGCCCTCGACAATGGCCTTATGAGGACCCCTCCAATGGGCTGGCTGGCATGGGAACGATTCCGCTGCGACACTGACTGTGAACACGACCCCAAGAACTGTATCAGGCAAGCCAGGATCATATTAATATTATACACTGTGATCTGACTGAAGCCTCTCTTTAAAAGAATAGTCTAGGATAGTCTTGGGGAGGATTTTATGTTAGAGTTATTAATTAAGCTGCATCAACTGTTTCACATAATGACATTTCATCATTCAAACAAACCACTGTGACCCTTGATGTGATGTCAGAAGTGAAAAAAAGAATCATATTAAGCAACAAACTTTTTCAGGGTCTGAGTCATGCTACATATAATCATAAGGTGAGTAACTGAGGGGTGTGGACCAATTATTACCATTCAATAACAGGAATGTTTTATAAGTAAAGGGGGTGTAGACCTCAGGGAACCAAACAAGCTTTGTGTAAACCAAAGAAATAACTTCTTACACAAAAATTCAGTTTGAACGCCACAGTGACCTTATTGAAACACAAACCTTAAGGGTTTGCTATTAAAAACTTCCCTGTCTTTCTTCCAGTGAGAATCTGTTCATAGACATGGCAGACAGGCTCTCAGAGGACGGCTGGAAGGAACTTGGTTATGTCTATGTGAACATAGATGACTGCTGGTCCTCCATGGAGAGAGACGAGCAGGGACGGCTGCAGCCTGACCCAAAGAGGTATAGTATACCCTGTATTCTCTCTCTCACACACAAGCACACACACACACACACACAGAGCAGCCATTGTTCCTCAGTGCAAACACTAATCTTCTAAGCAGGTAAGTTAGTGTGAGTCATGCAATCACATGACTTTTCAGTCTTTGATAACACTCAACTATATAAAAGAAACATTTGAATAAAAGCATAGCACATCACTGGATCCATTTAGAGTAGTTTCATAGTGTACTTTACACAGAAGGCATGTTTTACTGGTAATTATAGGGTATTATTTCTCAGCATTCGTTTAGCTGAAAACCTTGTATTGAATGGTACAGTTATCACACCTCTAATCGCTGACTGTGGACTTGGGAATGACATTATAATGCTTTCAGGTTCCCAGGAGGCATCCATAAGCTCACCCGCTACATGCACGACAGGGGTCTCAAACTGGGGATCTACGGGGACATGGGCAAACACACCTGTGGGGGCTACCCTGGCACCCCAATGGAAAAGATCGAGATAGATGCTTTCACCTTTGCAGACTGGGAGGTGGATATGCTCAAGTATGACGGCTGTTGGTCTAACGCCACAGAGCAGGAGCAGGGTAAGATAAGGAAAAGTTTCTTTTATATGATGGTTATTGAAATGTTGTTGATTTGATGTTGTTTGACTCTGTTTCCTCTCTTGAACAGGTTACCCTCTCATGTCAAAGGCTTTAAATGCTACAGGCCGTCCCATTGGCTACTCCTGCAGTTGGCCCGCCTACCAGGGTGGCCTCCCCCCTAAGGTTCAGTTACAGTTTTTATTATCCTAAAGCTTTAGGCTGGACAATTTGGACTATTTCGTTTCAGTGGAAATGATTTTCCCCATGAGACGTTGACCCTGTTGTGAGGATTATGTTCTAATACTTTAAATCCACAGTTGATATTTATACATTTTGAAACACATTTGTTTTCAGGTCAATTACACTCAGTTGGGTGAGATCTGTAACCTGTGGCGTAATTATGGTGACATTCAAGACTCTTGGGACAGTGTCCTAAACGTTATTGACTGGTTCTCTAAGAACCAGGATGTCCTGATACCTGCAGCTGGACCTGGACAATGGAACGACCCTGATATGGTGAGTTTAACTGACACAGTAACTCCCACAATATTCATACAGTATTGTTCAAAATAATAGCAGTACAATGTGACTAACCAGAATAATCCAGGTTTTTAGTATATTTTTTATTGCTACATGGCAAACAAGTTACCAGTAGGTGCAGTAGATTCTCAGAAAGCAAACAAGACCCAGCATTCATGATATGCACGCTCTTAAGGCTGTGCAATTGGGCAATTAGTTGAAAGGGGTGTGTTCAAAAAAATAGCAGTGTCTGCCGTTGACTGTACAAACACAAAACTATTTTGTACAAACGTTTTTGTTTCTAGGATTTAGCAATCCTGTGAATCACTAAACTAATATTTAGTTGTATGACCACAGTTTTTTATAACTGCTTCACATCTGTGTGGCATGGAGTCAACCAACTTGTGGCACCTTTCAGCTGTTATTACACTCCATGATTCTTTAACAACATTCCACAATTCATTTACATTTCTTGGTTTTGCTTCAGAAACAGCATTTTTGATATCGTTACCTGTAAGTACTGTGACAGTTAGAAGACGTCTGTGTGAAGCTAATCTATTTTCAAGAATCCCCCGCAAAATCCCTCTGATAAAAAAAAGGTACGTGCAGAAGAGGTTACAATTTGCCAAAGAACACATCAACTGGCCTAAAGAGAAATGGAGGAACATTTTGTGGACTGATGAGAGTAAAATTGTTCTTTTTGGGTCCAAGGGCCACAGACAGTTTGTGAGATGACCCCCAAACTCTGAATTCAAGCCACAGTGAAGACAGTGAAGCATGGTGGTGCAAGCATCATGATATGGGCATGTTTCTCCTACTATGGTGTTGGGCCTATTTATCGCATACCAGGGATCATGGATCAGTTTGCATATGTCAAAATACTTGAAGAGGTCATGTTGCCTTATGCTGAAGAGGACATGCCCTTGAAATGGTTGTTTCAACAAGACAATGACCCCAAACACACTAGTAAACGAGCAAAGTCTTGGTTCCAAACCAACAAAATTAATGTTATGGAGTGGCCAGCCCAATCCCCGGACCTTAATCCAATCGAGGACTTGTGGGGTGATATCAAAAATGCTGTTTCTGAAGCAAAACCAAGAAATGTAAATGAATTGTGGAATGTTGTTAAAGAATCATGGAGTGTAATAACAGCTGAAAGGTGCCACAAGTTGGTTGACTCCATGCCACACAGATGTGAAGCAGTTATAACAAACTGTGGTCATACAACTAAATATTAGTTTAGTGATTCACAGGATTGCTAAATCCTAGAAACAAAAACGTTTGTACAACATAGTTTTGTGTTTGTACAGTCAACGGCAGACACTGCTATTTTTTTGAACACACCCCTTTCAACTAATTGCCCAATTTCACAGCCTTAAGAGCGTGCATATCATGAATGCTGGGTCTTGTTTGCTTTCTGAGAATCTACTGCACCTACTGGTAACTTGTTTGCCATGTAGCAATAAAAAATATACTAAAAACCTGGATTATTCTGGTTAGTCACATTGTACTGCTATTATTTTGAACAATACTGTATATTTACTATTTTCTACATGGTCTGATAGTAAAGTTAGGTAGGTAAAGTTAAGGAAAAACGCCCCACTGTCTCAGTTGGTACTTTTATCTAGTATTTTTTTGCACACAATCCCTTCAAATGATAAAATGTAATAAAGTTAACTGTCCTTGTAAGGACCCCCGGGTAATACTAGAACCATTTTGACTTCCAAAATATAGAAAAAACACACTTTCTTTTCTTTTTTTTGTCTCAAGTAATCCTTGATTCTTTGATTTTCTACAGTGGCTTAAGAAAGTGCTATGAAATTCTACAATTTCATTTACTTTTGTGTGATTTTTGGCCTCCACAGCTGATTATTGGTAACTTTGGTCTCAGCATGGACCAGTCTCGTGCTCAGATGGCTCTGTGGGCGATTATGGCCGCTCCTCTTTTCATGTCCACCGACCTGCGCACCATCAGCAGTGGAGCCCGCAGCATTCTGCAGAACAAAATAGTCATCAGCATCAACCAAGACCCCATGGGTGTTCAGGGAAGACGAATTTTAAAGGTGACACAGTTTTGCATGGTTGTTGCAGCTTCTTGCAAATGCTCAAGATGAAAAAACTACAGAAATGAACTATTTAGGGTTTTGACATTTCTGTTTAGTACTTTTCTATCTTATATTCTTGATATACACTTCTCATTCTTGAGTCATTGTTAACGTTTTTCATCCATTTCGTTCTACCAGGAGAAGAATGGCATTGAAGTATTCTGGCGCCCCCTGTCAAGCAATGCCAGTGCCTTGGTGATCTTCAGTCGGCGTAATGACATGCCCTACCGTTACCAGACATCCCTCAGCAAACTTAACTACACCACTGGCAGTTACAAGGTATGTGCTTAAAAGTCTTCTAGACACGGAGATGATGTGGCACTCAGATGGTTTGAGTCTTACCTTACAAAGACATCTGGTGCTCCAAGGGTGCACAGTCATGTCCTCTTTAAAGGGCTGGACATACTTTGCACAAAGTATGCACATACTGTATGTCTATATGTGTCCAGACTATATAGCTGTGTTTCTGTGATTTGGGTGCACTGATGCAACTGATTCCCAGTTCCATGGGTTTTCAGGAACATTTTATCAGTAGGCCAACACGAAGAGACCAGTGACTCAGATTATTCGGATTGGAAACAATTGATTTGTTGCACTTTTACAGCAGCGTTGATCCACTGGACACACATCGTGCTTGCTAAGCTAATGCATAATAGTATATCAGGAGACTCACTTCTGTTTCCTTTCTACTATTTCTAAGATCTATGACGTCTTCACGGACAAGACCATGATGCTGAAAGATTCCACTGACTTTGTGGTGTCAGTGAACCCCACAGGTGTGGTCATGTGGTATGTCTCTGCACCTGCCAAACGGAACTTCCTTCAGTTTTATAAAGGCGGCAAACTTCAGGGGTCCTTCTACGCTGATGATGATGAAAACGCCATCCCCATCTTCCTCTGACTGCTCATCGACTGAACTTTATCAGCTAAATAACCAGTTTCTGTCTCATCACAGCATATTTGATAGAGTTAACTGACAAGACCTCACACATACATCATCTGGTGCTCAGCAGTGTCAAAAACTAAATTAGGTGATCATAAGAGCATGGTGCTTTCAATTCCAAGTAATGAATCACTGAACTCAGGGACAGTCACTTGCATCAAGATATGTAACTAAACTGAAATTGTCTTTGATCCTTCTTTCAGATTCTACACTTGCAGTATCAATACCGATCAAGCGAAAGAGTCCAAAACATAGCACACTTCATAGTCAGCGTACTCACAAAGTGTTCTAGTACTTCACAGAGCTTGAGACCCGATAATCTCAGTTGATTGCCAAAGCTACAGAACTATAAGCAGTATTTCTCAGAAGTCTCCTACTGCTATTTTAAAAACTTTTTATTTTAAAGAAGTAGGACAGTCTGTGTCATAGGCTTTAAAAAAAAAAAAAAAAAACACAAGGAAGGATGATAAAGGCCCTTGCCGTGCCAGTTTTATTAAATATTTGCACTTGAATTGTGCTTCCCTCCCCCCTCAGGCTAAATGTTAAGACCACATATGATCACATGGTTAAGAAATCAAGTTTTTATGAGAAATTATTCTGTTGATGTTTTCATTGAAATAAATATGTTTTACTTTTCAGTCAAGCGTTTGTGTTTCAGTATATTTTGACATTTAGAAACAGTTCTCACTAGACATCTGGGCCATCTAGCATTAATTACCTCATCAGAGTAAAAGTGCTGTGTTGCTTTAGGAGTTCTGCAACAAGGTCTCCCATCAGTGATTATATGTAAGGTTAGTTCTCCTATCAAGGACAAATACGTCTTATCAGAATGACCTTAATCCAGCCACCTGGTCATTAAAGGCACAATAATACTGAAGGATCCTGTTGAGTCTACTGAGAGACAGTTCATACAAACATATGAACATAGCAAACATTCAGCAACTGTGTTACTGCGTTATACATTAGTGAGTTGTTTGGAGAATGGTTTCAGTTCAACTTCTAAAAACTTTCCAGGCATATTATTTCCTCAAATAGTAAAAGGCTGTATTCACTTTTCAGCTTTCACTTCCCAACTGCTAACCTATGGAGGTTTTACTGTAAATTGCACATTTGTTGGGTAAAAATTATAATATTACTTTTGCTGCCAGTTATTGCTTTATTTATTTAAACTTGTGCATTATATGTATACATTATACATATATTGTTTCAGACAAAAATTTGACATTTTTAGGAGGTACTTGCAGATTTCTTGTAGATAAATGTTGGTGAAGTGTGATAGGCTGGTGGCCTGTCCAGGGTCAGCTAGGATTGCCTCCAAAACAAAACCCTTGTTTTGGAAATGGAGATAAAAGTGACAACACCTTAACCATGGTGCCGTGAGGAGTGGCTGATTAGATATCGTTTCAGACAAAGATACATAATAAATTTGCACCCAGAGTGAGTAGAGACCTAACTCAAATTAAAGTACAGAAAATAAACCTTATAATATAGCTAACATGAGCACAGACTCGCGCCCATATTGAACCAGTAGAGGTCAGTGCTGCTCTTTATTTTATAAAGATTTGAAAACACATCTAATGG